CAAAAGTTAGAAGATAAGGGGGCGGCGTAGACTGTGAATCGTGTGATTGGAAGACACAAAGTGTCAATCCTCGGCGAGCCTCGGTATCATGGCCGCATCACGTCTAGTCAGGAATCTAACCTCCTTCGATGATGCCTTGAGCTTTAAAATAGTGTGATCTCTTGCATTCTCATCAACTCGTACTAGACAGCATTCATATGATGCGCCAGTTTCTTTAACACCAAGGCTCATTTTAGATGTGAGTTGTAATGTAAATATAAAATAACAAGAACGCTTCACAACTTCAAAACATTGCTTCAAAACAGCGCCACCGGAAACGGAAATACTCGTGTCAAGATACAAAAGAAAGGAACAAAGTTGGTGAAATAAAAATGTAAAAGTCAAAGTAGTAGTACCTAATTAAACACAATTACACATAAAACTGCTTTAATTATACGAATTTACTATGGTGGAGTTATAGAAGTTATCTGGGAAAATGTGCAAAATGAACCCCTGCAGAGTGAATCATCTTTCTACCAGCAACCCATGACCATGTGACGAAACGTCACAACTACTACGCAACATCTATGCCTAGACGGGTACTCGCTCCCACCTCGATTACTCGATTACTCGATTACTCGCTCCCACCTCTAAGCCGATAGGTGGGACCGGGTACCAGTCTACATCTATGCCCAACTGTGTTACGCATCGAAGTATACCTAGGGCAACAACACATAATCAAACTGCAAGTGCTCCGTAGGTCTTTACAAAAAACATGAAGTGGCGATATAAAAATGAAGTTCAATTTGGTAAGTATCTTATGTGGCAGTAACATTTTAACAGCAGTAACACTAACAACACAGTTACAATCATGGACATGGTGTGTTCTCTGTTTAGTAGATCTATACTACTAGTACTACTACTAGTACTAGATTATAGATACAATAATGTAACCCAAACCCAAGAGGATAGGGTATCCTATCCTCTTGGGTTTGGGTTACATTATTGTATCTATACTACTACTAGTACTACTACTAGTACTACTACTAGTCTATAGACTATACACTACAGTACCGAGTACAGTAGGGGGCCTACTACTGTAGCGTAACCAAACAGAGTAGGTAGCCTGCTCTGTGTTATATTATGACTGTACCTATATGTTGTTTAGAGGGCAAAAGCATCTCGTTCTTTAGGTATGTGACACAGCAGCCTTACCTTTGCAAATTCAAAAACTGGGTTACTGACTCTTAAAACTCTGTTTTCCCTATATTTACCTCCGCGCAACGGAGATCATGTAATCGGTCTCGCGTGTATGTGTAGCCACCGCGCGATCGATAGCGTGTCAAGTCAGCGAGTGGCGAGTCAGCAGCAGCCACCAGTGAGCGGCGAATCGATAGCGCGTCGAGTCAGCGAGTGGCGAGTCAGCAGCAGCCACCAGTGAGCAGTGAGTCAGCAGCAGGCGAGTCAGTCAGCAGCCGCCACCAGCGAGCACATACATGTAACATGCTCGCGGAGGTATGCACTCTTCGTGAGTGCCCTCTGTCTAGTATAATATAATATTCTTTGGCAAGTTGGTTCCCTTATAAGTTAGGCCGTGGCTACGCGACCGGTTCCGGACGAGGAGCTGCTAGGCTACGCATCCGGACATCCATCTCACACAGTGAGCTTGCGACACGTACACGCATGATTGTGCAATGGGACGCTCTGCTGATTGTGTGTGTGTGTGTGTGTGTGCGTG